TGAATTCTCAGAGTCAGTCAAATGGTTTGACAGGTGTGGTAAATGGTAATTTGAAGTTTATCATTGTTTCCTGAGTGGGGTGGTTCAAAATACTACTTTTAGTGAAATAGCAGTGCTCATATTTGCTCTGCACGATTTAGGGGGGGCCAAATGGTTTGTACATATTTCTGTTAGTGTAAGCCTTTTTCACAATGCTCCGAATTTGTTCTTTCGTGAATTAAAAAAATGAAATTTCTTCCCCTGTAACTTGCTCCAAATTTGGATATTAGTGCTCCAAAAGTTACATTTTGCTGCTCCAAAAATTGCTCCAGATTCTATTTCGGCTGTTGCACCTCTGCAAATGTTTATGTGAGACGTGGTTTACATCGTAGCAGTCTATATTTATATTAGTTGAAAGCATTAATAACGCCATGTTCAATAAACAAATGATGAATGTTATGCCTGTATGGAAGGTTATAAATTAAGCGAATGATTTTATTGTATAATACAGAAATCTTTCTTAGATTACTTTATGTCGTTATGGCCCACATAATGTACAGTAATTTATATGAGAAAGAAATAAAGCATGATATATTGCAAGCTTTGCTTTTAATGGTAGCAGCGATCTATGACACGAAAGTATGCCAAAAGCTCTAGAGGAGTACAGTAAAACATTATTGACATGGTCATTCCATTTCATACTTTCTGTAAGATATTTCCAAGTGGTTTTATAGATTTCACCATTTCTATAATGTGTGATTCATAATGTAAGTTTATTGGTGTGTCCAATTTCTTATTCTTGCACTTAAAAAGGATAGCTTTAGTCTTATTTACAATAACTGACAATGCATTATCATTAGTCCATAGTGATAAGTTTCTCAAAATATTGTTTCCATGCAAAGCTAACTCCTGATGAGTGTCAGCTGAGAAAAGTATCATAATATCATCTGCAATGAATGAAACATGCAATTAATTTTACAAGGTGCACTCATGCTCATCAATACATTTGCTGGGTCCCAGAAAATTGTCTTATGTTGCAGAGAAAAAAGAAAAAAAGAAATTGTTGTGACACTATACCCCTTTAACTCTTTCTTTACCAGACCTATTTATATGGATCACCGGTGATAGACGATCTGAATTGTTGTTTTTGGCATGTTAAGCTTATTTCACGGGCTGCACCTAGCACTTACTAGCAGTTAGTTCAGGTGCTGACCTCCAAGAATCATTATGAATTTGACCGATTTGGCAACATACTAGCGATTTTTGACAGACTTTTTCAGAAACCAGTATGCTTGTGCGGTTGTGAAAATGCCCTTAGCTGATGAACTTTGAAGACATGCATGCCGCTTGTGGTTATGCTGCAGTAACATCAAAATTCTGTAATAAAAGAACCTTAGGAAGTCAAATATCAAATAATGGCATCAGCTTCGCAGTGTGACGTTGTTGAGCCCTAACAATGGCTTTAAATCGATGCCAGCTATTCACTAGAGAGCTTTTTTTAAGAGTTGGGAAAAACTTTTTAACAAAAAATTATTTCCGATGGTCCGCGGCATGTATAACATGTGGAGGTGCTTTTTACAGAAAGTTTCCAGTAGCTTCGATTTTACTTCTGTTGTGACATTAGCCACAGGGCCACATCCAGTGTCGCTAGTTGCTCTCCTATGACGTCATTGTCATTATGCATAGGTGCACACCTGCGCTGTGAGGAATGCACGTGGCTCAGGACTAGTTTCTTGTAACTGCACCTGAATGGAGTGGTGACGGGCTTTGAGTCTAAATATGATAGCACATCAGCTTCGAGCTCTGATGGCGACAACCACTTGACGTCAGCCTGGAATATCTGCAGTCATTCAGGGGTTGTTTCTATTTATGGCCTCAGTCTCCTCTGTCACATGTGCGTAGCTGCTGACCTTTGTGCCCAATCTTATAGCTACTCTGGTTATACGCGAGGTCCACACGTCGCTGAGGCGCGATGGGCTGGTGCTGGCTGCATAGCTTCTCCGCGCGACTAGAAGGCCACATCTCGGCCATGCACTACAGAGCGGCGCGAGATGTTAGGTCTGTGGACGATTTAATTCTTTGTTTTTTTTCAATATTATCTGCGAAAATAAAAAGAAGTATGCTTAGATGCATGTTTTGGAACACCAACCTATGCAGAGATAGGTGGCTCACAGGAAGAGGTGACGCCAGATGAATTGGTGAAGATCACTGGACATTTGGCATCGTTCACATCGTGGGTTTCCATCTATTCAAACACCAGCAGGCTCCGCCTGTAAAAAAAAATTGCAACATGTCGACGGATTGACTGATGATGAGTGGAGCGAAGCAGTTGCCCGTCTAGATGCACAGACGAACGGATGCACGGATGGACGGAAGTAGGACGGACTGAAGCTCGGGTGGACAGACAGACAGACGGACAGACGTAGGTATGGACACAAGCACTGATGGACGGACGGACGGATGGAAGCATGGATGAACAGACAGACGGATAGAAGCATGGACAGACAGACGAACGGACATGCGGGTGGACTTACGGATGCACATACAGACAGATGCACATACAGACGCTTCGCCCCACTCATCATCTAAGAGTATGGAAAGTTGGGCTTGATGACATTCTTGGAAAGATTTCGGCGCGCACACAGTAGAAGCGTTTAATATCAGACGGTGCTCTGATAAATGCGTAAGCCGCCCATTTATTACACTAATTGACAAGGAGCTCACCTTTTTGAGCCATGCTTGACTTCAACATTCTGCTGCACTTCGTAGATACCGCTTATCTAAAAAATTAATGTCGTGGTGTGTTGTCGTTTTTTTGCTGTTATTTTCTATCACTTTCTTTTTTGCTTGTTTTTTTAGGCACATGTGCTCTTGAGCGACACTGGAATATATATATTTCGCATATTTCTTTCAATAAACAGAGTTGTGAGTTCATGCCTGTTTCTCTTCTTGCCTTCCATTTTCTTGTCCACTGTGTGCGCGCTGAAATCTTTCCAAGAATGCCACTCATCATCATTCACTCAATGGGTATGCTGTGAAAACCACAAACGTCATCTAGTTATATTATTTCCAAGGACATAAACACACAATACCATCGACTAAGCAACTCATAAACAAGAGGTGGCTACATATTACTACTACTACGACTACAGGAGAGGGAGCAACACCCACAGCCTAAGGAGCTTCGCCTCTAACAAAAAAATTTGTGAAAAAATTTACGAGTGCACGTGGGGTGTCTCTCGAAAAACCAGAAAATGCTTCACTGCATGGCATGAGCAACCAAGCAGCACTTTCGTTCAGATTTCATTTGTCTATCCTTATAGGAACATTGCGTAAACCATTGATTATTTTTATTCTATTTCAGGGTCATTTATCTTTAAAATTTATGTTTGGAATTTTCCCGTCTTGACTGTTTTTGCATATATTGTGTTTTTGTTACTGTGTTTATCAGTGGGCTACCAAAATTAAACACTTTTCACAATTTTGTGCACTCCATAATGGTTTTGTTGAGCTACAACATGTATTTTGTTGGAAAAAGCATTCCATTATGCATCATTTGATATGCTACAATCTTTACTGGAGTACTTTGCTAACTGGCAAAAACTTCACTCCGTAGACATATGAAAAGTAGCCATTTTCTTGCAGTAACGAAAAATCTGACATCTTACTAAAGGCTTACAGCGTTCAAACAGTTAATGTACAACTTAATACCACAAGAAAGTAGAATTTTCATGATTATCTTGTTATAACTGTCTGAAATTTTGGTGCAAGATCTCACTTGCATGGCCAAAAGTAATTTCGTGTGCTTGCTAAAGGGAGCCAGTGTTGCTATGGCAGACAATGTTCGAGTTAGCTGTATTTAACCGTGTAAGCCACAGTTAAGCTTAACAGTAGTTCTAACTCTCTGGTTTACTTGCAACGTTGGGGTACAATATTAGAAGGTGCATGCACTTGGATTCTGCTTTTTTGTAAGTCAGATCTTGAGGTTTTCTATCTAGTTGCCAGGAGCTGGTGCACTCTGTGGTGAGCTGGTACCTTCACAGTCAAGTGGCTAAGGCACTCAGCTGCTGACCCACGGGTCGCGGGATCGAATTTCGGTCATGGCGGTTGGATTTTCGATGGGGGCAAAAATGTTTGAGGCCTGTGTATTTATATTTATGTGCACGTTAAAGAACACCAGGTGGTCAAAATTCCCGGAGCACTCCACTACGGCATCTCTCATAATTGTATGGTGGTTTTGGCATGTTAACTGCCAACAATTATCATTATTATTATTGTTAACACCCTAACTAATCACTGGCTTTGTTTTCACCTTTTGGCTGATGATTCCGAGCATGTTGGCATGTATTCTGTGGCCAGCAGAGCTGCAACAACATTCCTGATAACTTTAATAATATTTTTTTGAGCAAGGGCCATGACCACCTTCAGTTTTTTTGCTCTCCTGAAATGCCGAGACTGTACCTGTCTGCGTGTTATCTCATTGCTCTAATTTCATGCAAAGATCATGGTGATGTTCTCACTGCAAAAGTAGATATAGTGTTTAATATCCTCCATACTTGAGCACCATGAAAAGGGTCAATGTCATTGTGACTGGGAATCATCGGCTGTCATTTTAGCCGCAAAAAGGACCTGTGAGCAATTATTCTCATGGATTAACGAACCGAACTGACTGCTGATTGCACTCTGTAGATATGTTGATAACTGTAGATAAAAATAATAAATAAATGAGCCAGTGCCATAGTTTTCATCAGTTGGATGGAACGCTAGTTGACTTGGTAACTCATCTTAGAATCATGGTGCACAAAAACGGTAACACAGGAGAAAGGCTTGTCTGTGTTCCTTTCTCTTGAGTTGTCATTCTTCTGCATGCCACCACTCTAGGATTTTTGTCACTGTTATAAACAAGGGAGCCATGAAGATTTTTTCTAAATAATTCTTTAATGGCATGAGTTGATTTACTTTGAATATTTTGCTTCCTTGGTGAGATGGGCTTCTGTTGAACGTCGGACAATTATGTGCAGGTTATTTTATCATATAGTGGAGAGTGATCGCATTGGGACGAAGATACTGCAGGAGATGAACCGTCAGCAGCTGCCTGGCGAGGTCACCTTCATGCCTCTGAACCGGCTGATGTACAAGGACGTTGACTACCCCAATAGCAATGTAAGTGTTTTAGCATTTTTAACACTTGTAAAGCTTCTATTTCCATATACGCAAGGGTGGAAGTGCTGTGCCTACTGCTGTACGCTGCGCCAAACTGCTTCTGCTGCCCATCCATACTGCTCCGAAATGCAACATTACACTGAAGCGAAACTGATAGCCGGCCCAGTTGGAACGAATACAAGGAAGTACTTTGCATGGAACACACTAGGATAAAGGACGATTGTGCTTGTCCATGTGTCTCCTTTCTTTGTCCCCGTGTGTTCCACGCAAAGTACTTCCACGAATTGCACTGAAACTACTCCCATGCGCTCTTTAGTGCCTTCATGTGCTGTCATCCGTGACGTTGCGTGCCAAATTCAAGCTCCTATCATTGTCATCACAATCACTTGACGTGCTCTCGGTGATGTTGATAACTGCGCAAAACAAAGTATACCGCAAGGGCAATGCAATGATTGCAATAGCAACATTGCATTGCCCTTGCAAACTCTTTTGGACCCAATCTCATTTAACTATTAAAAATGTGCTGGTATAAAGCAGTATGGCCGATTCATAAAGAGAAGTGGTTTTTGTTGCATCCCGTGGGCCGCGCAAAGGCGTGCCGAAGAACAGAGCTTACGCCGGTCAGCAAGAGAGCAGAACGTCGCTTTATTGTCAAGCCAGGCTCACTTATATTTAGTATGAACGTAAGAGAGGAAGGGAAATGAGGGAGAGGAGCGGCGATAGCTGCCGCCGCGACAGAACGAAAGATGCGCACGTAATCGTGCGCGCCACGCAATGGTGATGTCGGCCCAGAATATGCAGCACTCCTTTCTCCTTAAAAGTAGAACTGCTCCACCGGTCGGCATGTTCTCGTAGAACGCCTCAGGATTTGTTGGGGACTTCTTGCAGTGTTATCCGTGGGGGCTGATCTGGTCGTAGGTTGAGTTAGGGAGGCGACGCGGGGGACTCGTACCGGAGAGTTTGCGCACCGAGGCGTGTTTGTCGCCGGATCACCTTCTCTTGCTGTCGTTGGCGGGCTGGATGCCAGGCGTTGCTCGATCACACTGTAAGGCTGCTGCTGGGGCTCCACTGAACTGTTGCGTTGCAAGCGCACTTGATCGGCGTGTCACTGGGCCAGTCCTCCCGAAGTTTCCACAATAGCCATCCTTGATCTGGACGTAGTCTTGACCCGTACCGGCATCCACTTTTCAGCGCTACCATAGTTCCACACGTAGACACTGGTCTCGGGTAGTAAGGTCCAGGAGTCTTGACCCTGCGACGGCTCTGCAAGAGAAGGAAAACACGAGTCCAGCCGGGACCGGATTTGGTAACCGAGAAGCATCTCTGCTGGTGGCTTCCCATTTTTCCGTGGAGTTCTCCGGTAGTTGCACAAGAGTCGCACTAGATTGTCCTCCATCGTCCCTTCTTTAATTTTTTGAAGCCCCTTCTTTATGGTTCGCACTACTCTTTCGGCCGCCCCATTTGACTGGGGGTGGTAGGGGGTGCACCTTAGATGTACAATGTTGTTGTTCTTTGAAAATGTCTCGAATTCCTGGCTGGTAAATTGCAGACCATTATTAGAAACTAAGGTTTGTGGGACACCAAATCTGCTAAAAATAGCACGCAGGCAGTTAACCGTGGTTTCACTGGTTGCGTGCACCAGCGGTATGGCTTCGATCCATTTTGTATGCGTGTCGACTACCACCAAAATAATTTTTCCTGCGATCGGACCCGCAAAATATACGTGAACACGAGACCACTTCTCATTCGTCGCTGGCCAGGTGACTGGTGGTGCTGCTGTAGGCATCAGTAGGTTCTGAATGCAGCTTTGACATGAAGCCAATATTTGCTCGATATCTCTATCCAGTCCTGGCCACCAAAACAGCGAACGTGCAACAGCTTTCATAGCCGATGATCCCTGGTGCGTGTCATGCAGTAGACGCAACGCTCGGGTACGAACCTCTTCCGGTACCACTACACGGTTTCCCCAGTAGAGTAGCTCATGAGCCACTGACAACTCCAACTTCTGGTCGAAGTATGGCAAGACCGAATCGTGTAAGGAGTTTTTGTTTTAGGCCACCCGTTCAGTGTATAATGTTTAACCTCGGACAGGACAGGGTCAATGGCAGTCAAAACCTTCAGCTTACGTGTGGTCACTCCCCCTTCCTCGAGCGTTTCCAGGGACAGAACGTATTCGACCAGTTCGTCATCCAGGACAGGTTCCGGAGCTTGCCGGGGTAGACGGCTCAGTGCGTCGGAGTTGAACATCTGCCTCCCTGGAGTGTACTGAAGCTTGTATTGGTAGGCCCCGGGGCAAAGCGCCCACCGTTGGATTCAGGCGGCAGCCATCGTTGGTGTCTGGCGGTCCGGTCTCAGCAGGCCCAGAAGTGGTTGGTGGTCGGTCACCAGCGTGAACTCTCGCCCTAGAAGATAGTCACGAAATTTTGTTATTCCAAAAATGAGTGCCAGCGCTTCTTGTTCTAGTTGAGAATAGTTCCGCTCTGCTTGTGTCAATGTTCTGGAACGGAACCGAATGGGTTTATAAACATTGCATACTGTGAGAAACAGAGCTGCTCCGACTTTGTGGGGGGATGCGTCACATTACAACTTCAACTCTTTGTTTGGATCGAAAGGCACTAGCACTTGTGCATCTTTGAGCCTTCGCTTCGCAGCTGTAAAAGCAGCTTCGTGCTGTTCCTTCCAGTTCCAGCGCGCATTTTCTTCTAGCAGCTGATATAAAGGTAAAAGCGTAGTTGACATACTCGGCAGGAACTCTGTGTAAGACGTCAGCATTCCAAGAAACAAGCGCAGCTCGGTAACATTGCGAGGACTTGGTGCCTCAACAATAGCGTCCACATTCTTTTCTGTAGGGTGAAGACCATCTCAGTCGATTCGGTGCCCAAGATACGTCACGGACGGTCTGCGCAGTTCGCACTTATCAAATCTGAGCTTTATTCCCCGTTCGCGGAAGCGCTGCAGAACGTTTCTTAGTCGTTCGCCATTATCATTCTTTCTCTCCGACACAAGTACGTCGTCTAGATAAACTTGCACGCCCGGCAGACCTGCCAATACCTCATCCATCTTTCTTTGAAAGATTGCCGGTGCGGATGCTATTCCGAACGGCAGCCTATTAAAGCAAAACAGGCCTCTGTGCGTGTTAATGACGCAGACTTTTCTTGCAGCTTCGTCGAGTGGCACTTGGTTGTACGCATCGGGCAGGTCAAGAGTGCTAAAGCATTCACCATCGCTTTAGCGACCAAACATGTCCTCAATCACGGGCAACGGGTATTGCTCGGTGGCACAGGCTGGGTTCAGGGTGGCTTTGAAATCCCCGCAAATTCTGACAGTGCCGTCTTTCAATAAGATCACCACAATTGGCGTTGCCCAATCAACATGCTTCACTGGCGACAACACTTCTATTGAAACCAGCCGGTCCAGCTCTTGCGTTACTTTATCGCGCAAAGCGTAGGGAAGGGGCCGTGCCTTAAAGAATTTTGGAATGGCGCCTTCTTTTAGGGGCAGATTTGGGGGGGGGGGGGGGTGGTTCTCTCGATGAGGCCCAGGTCGGCAGAAAAGACATTCTGGTAGTCCTCGAAGATGCTGACTATGCGGTAGCTGCTGTCTTTGTCTTCCGGAGAGACGTCCCGTGCTGCTACCTGCAATATTGGAGCTCCTGCGTTGTCAAGTAAACGAAGCAAATCACGGCCACACAAGCTTGGCTCCGCACAGTCCAACACACTCAGCAAACAGTCCACGGACACCCCTTTGTAGTGGACGCGTAACTGAAGTTCTCCGAGGACAGGTAGGCGGCCTGCGCAGCAGGAAAGCTTCATACCGGAGGCTCTCAGACTTGGCCACTGGCTGCGGTGCTTCTCATAAAGTTAGCAAAAAATGACGCAAATCGGTGACCGGTTGTCTACCTCCATTGGCAATTCAATGCCCCCCAACGTGAATACTCGCCGAATCGGGGGTTTCAGAACGTTCTTACTTTTAGACGCTAATGTCAAGATATGGGCTGTTTACATTTCCTCGTTAGAGGAGCCTTCTGAGACCGTCAAAAAGTTGGTTCGCCCCGTTCTAGTGTCGTTTGCATGCGGCGCACGGCTTCAGCACTTTCGTGCAAAGTGCCCTTTTTATGTTTACACTGATAACACCGTTCGTCGTCCTTGTGTTTTCCACTACCGCATCTGCCACAGCTTTCGACTTGAGAAGTCTTCCGTTCTCGTTGTCGGTACATTTTTCCAGACGCGTCTACTTGTAGTAGTGATGTGTCCTCCGCATTCATCTTTTCTACATCTGTTTCTGCAGCTTCGGCTGCTATTGCTATAGCTTCTGCTTTTTGAAGCGTTAAGTCTTTTTTTGACAATAGCTGTTTCTGCAACGCATTAGAACATACGTCGCAAACAATACGGTCCCTTAGCATCCGGTCCAGCGCGCCTCCGAATTTGCAGTTATCAGCTATCCGCCGAATTTCCACCAAAAAGGTATGCATAGGCTCCCCTTCAGCTTGGCACTAGTTGAAAAATTTGTAGCTTTCGAAAATTTCGTTCCTTTTTGGGTCATAATACTCGCTGAGCGTGGCCACTGCTTCTTCGTAAGTTAAGGAATTTGGCGCGCGCGGTGCTATTTTCCCTGCCAAAGTCTCTACCGTGTGCGTGCTCAATGCCGCCACAAGTAATGCTCTCTTTGTTGCTGAATTCTCAAGAATGTTCTCTTTCAAGAAAACCTTCCATCTTGGTAAGGCACGGTTTCCACTTATCTTTGCTTTCGTCGATGTCTGGTAGCTTGAGTTGGGCCATGTCGTCCCACGGCGTGCTGCGGTCTTCGGGTTCCTTCTTCGCGACTAACACGTCGCCAATCCTCGTCGCCACTGTTACATCCCGCGGGCCGCGCAAAGGCGCGCCGAAGAACAGAGCTTACGCCGGTCAGCAAGAGAGCAGAACGTCGCTTTATTGTCAAGCCAGGCTCGCTTATATTTAGTATAAACGTAAAAGAGGAAGCGAAACGAGGGAGAGGAGCGG